CAGCAGCCGCTCCCAGCGCCCCGCCGCCGCTGCCCGCCGCTGCCGGCCGCCGAGCCTCTCCTCTTCCTGGCCACCCTGTCCCTCGGCCTGCAGGGTCCCCTGGCCACCCAGTACCTCTGGGACAGGCTGGGGGCCGAGCGGGGTTACAGCGGTCCCAACGGCAGCAGCCCCGCCGGCTGCGGGAACGGCAGCGCCCACGACGATCCCCTGCGGCAGGTGGGAGAAGGGGGGGCCGGGGTTTGGGGGGGTGCTGATGACTCCCGGGGTGGTGGTGGGTGCTGCTGGTCCCGGGGCCTACAGGTGCCTGTTTTTGCTTTGCAGGAGGTGGAAGCGCTGGTCTCCCACTGGAACCTCTGTATCAACCTGGGAGGTTTCTTCGTCGGTCTCTTCTCCGTGACTCTCTTCGGACCATGGAGCGACAGCGTAGGCCGCCGGCCGGCGCTCATCCTGCCGGCAGTGGGTATGGCCGTGCAAGCGGCCATCTATCTTCTCGTCATGTACCGGCAGCTGCACGTTGCCTACTTTCTCCTTGGACGCGTTTTGAGCGGCCTCATGGGAGACTACAACCTGATTCTGGCCAGCTGCTTCGCCTACGTGGCCGACACCAGCGACAGACGGGCGCGCACGTTTCGCGTCGCCATCCTCGAGGCGTGCCTCGGCATCGCGGGCATGCTGGCCAGCGTCGGCGGCGGCCAGTGGCGCAAGGCTCAGGGGTACATCAACCCCTTTTGGCTCGTGCTTGCTACTAGTCTTGCTGCCGCTCTCTACGCTGCTTTCTGTCTTCAGGAATCGGTGAAGCAGCAGAAACCAGCCAAGCTGTTCACGCTCAGCCATTACAAGGCCGTCTACAGGCTGTACGTGGCCCCAGAACGCTTGAGCTCCAGGAGGAAGCTTGCCCTTTACTCCCTGGCTTTCTTTCTTCTTGTCACTGTACATTTTGGATCCAGGGACCTCTTTGTTTTGTATGAGCTTGGGTCCCCTCTCTGCTGGTCTGCTGACCTCATTGGGTACGGCTCAGCCGCCAGTTACCTGGCTTACCTGAGCAGCCTGGGAGGGCTGCGGCTGCTGCAGCTCTGCCTTCAAGACACCTGGGTGGCAGAGATAGGATTGATCTCCAACATTTCTGGACTGGTTGTGATTTCGCTTGCTACTACAACACCACTGATGTTTACAGGTGATGCTGAATTCTTAAATCCCCCTATCTCAGGCTCTTAGCTTAAGAGATGCCAGAAGACGTAGGAGGGCAGTGTGCTTCTGGGAGTTCAAGCACGTGGAGGAAGTTCTGCCTCCGTTTCAGCCCCATGTACCAAGAAAACTGTGGCTTGCTAACAGCAAAGGTGGCCAAACACTAAAGTTGAAAGTGCAACTGTATAGTTCTGAGAATATTAGGTTTCCCAGAAGCTGTATTACACTGCAGACACAGACTAAAGTGCATTATGAGATGCAGGAGGGTGAATTGGGTGTAAATATAGCAGGGAGAAACTGCTTTGAGCTACAGATTTCTGGGATTGACTTTGGAGACTTTATTTTTCAGCTGAGCTTCCCTAATATGCTGTATCTTGCTCACAGGTTATGGGATTCTGTTCCTTTCCATGGCAGCCACTCCAGTCATCAGAGCCAAGCTCTCCAAGCTGGTCAGTGAGATGGAACAGGGTAAGGAGTTGGCCAGTACCTAGCTTAAGCTAGGTTCTGAAACACTGTCTTCTTGGAACATTGAAACCAAACTGCTTTGGGAGGTTGGGACTTCCCTGGCTCGTTTGGACTCCTGTGCCCATGCACTCATCCTCAGGCCCAGGGTAACATTTTATTTTTTCAGAATAATTGTCAGTCATCCATTTAGACTTGCTATATCTTCAAGATGAGGACAAGAGAAGAAAAGCAGGATGAAAAGTATTACATTCAAGCTCAGGAATAGTTCATTCATCCATCTGTTTGTTTCCAAAACTTTGACAAGGAGTAAGAGTTAAAATGGATTATATAACGAGCAGAAAATAGTGATTTCCCTGACGGTGACTTTTTTTCTGTAGATCAGTAACAGTAGGAAGAAACCCAGTGTTGTTAGAGGGTTGTATCATTGACCATGGTGAAAGATCATGTATTACCCATAGGAGGAGCATATTTGCCTTTCTGCCAGTAATTTGTTTGGAGAGCTTGCACTTGCTGTTAAACACTGCATAGGAATGCCTCTGTGGGCAGACAGAGGGGAGGAGGGAATCGAGGTGGGAAAGGTCGAAAGGTGACTGCACAATTCGTGTTTCTTGTATTAGAATGAAGGTGGCACACACTTGATAACAGATTTATGATGCTAAATCTATAAAGCGAAGTCTTCTACTGTACTTAATGTTTAACAAGCGATAAGATGTGCTTGGCAGTAAACAGATCTATATAGCCCTGTCTAAAGCATTTACAATCCAGTTGATATGTAATATCCCTAGCCAGCTCCGGTGATACAAATTCTGGGGGTCAATGAGGTGGTTCTGGCTACAGAGAAGCTGAGTTTCACAGGTTTGGCCTGCGAAGCCAGGAGAGTGTGCCTGATCTCTGCTCGCAGCTTTTGCTTACCACACTTGATAACCAGCCACCAGTTTTCTGATGGGAAGTGCAAACCCTTAGAAAGATTCACAGAATCCCACTGAAGGTGATGTGTTAAAGACGTTTGCAGGTAGGGCTGTCTCACCATTAACCTCTTATATGTATTTTCCAGGTGCTCTCTTTGCTTCTGTTGCCTGTGTGGAAGGGCTGTGTTCACTTGTGGCTACAGGAGTGTTCAACTCTCTCTACCCTGCCAGCTTGCACTTCATGAGGGGATTCCCATTTCTCTTCGGGGCTATAATTCTTCTTATTCCAGCAGCTATTATTGGGTAATTTACTTCAAATTTCTAAACTTTGCCATAGGATGTGTGAAGTGTAATATGAAAAATACTATTTACTCTGCTTAGGATAGAAGCTTACACTTTTTAAGGCGTATTTTCAATTATGCTTATGAGAGGGTGTTTAGTGCCCAGTAAGCAGAGGCGCAGGTCCATTTCTTCTGGCATCTGAATCCTAGCGATAAACCTGTAGCCCAAGTAATGTAGCTGCTGACATTCAAAGTGCTTCAAAGTCTCACTCCACCCTCAGAGTGGAATCCAAAATCTGGAGTTGAAGATCCTCCTTTATGCAAGAGACGGAGCTCTTTTAGCAGTCTCTCTTCCTGTTTCTCTAGTAGTTAAAGCAGAAGTTGTGTCATGATAGAAAACAAATCCCCTGGTAAGTCTTGGGAGAGAGAATGTGTTGGGGTTTGCAGAAGTGCAACAGCTCTTGGCAGGGTCATTTTGTTCTGTTCCTTTGAAACTTTAAAAGTCACTTCATTCAGTGACATCCTAGTGTGCCTTCATAGGCTCTAACTGTTCTTTCTTTCTTAGGTGGATGGAAATCTGGGACTCAAACCGGGACTACAGTCACTTCTCAGATGCTTCCCTGTCCCCTACAGATGACTGAGCAGCAACTTAGCAACAAGGAATTGGCCAGCTCAGCAGTGTCCATCTGAAGACTGCTCTTTATTCTTGCCTTGAAGGACAGATCAGTGTGGGAAGGACACCCTGCTTGTCCTTACTAATTTTTAAATGCCAAATGGTTGGAAATCGTGGCTCTGACTACCAGCAGTAACTTGATTTGCAGTTGCGAATGCCTCCTCACCGTTGTGTTGGCTCATCTGTCAGAGAAAACCCAAGGGACCGAAAAGCCAATCAAGAGTGAAAGCTGTTGTTGGCCATTTGCAAGGCCGCTAGTGGTTTGGGGTTTGGTGGGGAGGGAAGGTTCTACAGCATGCTTTGAGTGATGAGAGAGGACTGAATTCTGGTTTAATTAGCAAACATGTTCCCCTCTGAGTACTACAGCGTGCAGCAAATGAGCTGTTGGCTGTGGGTGAGGCCCAGGCCAAAGCCTGCAGAGCGAGACTGAAGCAGAGGTACCCAACACCGTGCTACTGAGGAGAAAGATCTGCGCTCCGAATCAGTGTGTTGTCAATAAAAGTCATACAAATGTCACGTGCCAGACTAGGCTCCTGCAGAAATCCTTATGATGAGCTGTAGTTTACCACAGGAGTGCTGTTGCTGTCCTTACTGACTAAACTAGCTTTAGCTTTGCAAGTTAGACGTGTCCGAGGGAGAGAATCTAATGCATGAAGTGCTTGTAGTGAGGAGTGCCGGTGGGACGTCCTGCCTGTCTGTCTGCAGCTCAGCCCAGGATTTCAAAGGTACTTTTGAGAAGTAATAGCTCGTGTGGGAATACGTAGGTGCCTTAATTGACAGTTGCCCAAACTGATGAAGTTAACGCTAAAATTGGGCCTCCCTAACTGAAGACCCTTACATTATAAATTTGAGGCCCCAACTGTGATATGTGTGCCCTAGTGTCATGTGAAATTACTGCTGTGCTTATGGCAGAGCCAGAAGCAGTCCTTCCTCATCAATACACAGCGCTGTTGGGATGAGCTGGTGTGGGGACAGGACTAGTGTCTTTGGAGGTAAAATTATGCCCCAAAATTTTGTGTCGGTGATCTCACTTCTGCTGCCCTTTTCAGGATATGTTGGTGCCAGCAAGCAAACCCCGTGTTCATGATACTCATAATTGTTCTTTTCAGAGCATTAACTGTATTGCCTCAATCCTATTTTCTTCAAACTGCCATAAACCAGCAGTTCTGTGTACATTGCATTGCACAGACTGTTCAGATGCATGCAATAATGTCCTTAACACTGAAATTGCTTAGCAAACACGTTACTTTCAGAACGTATAAAACCACTGTTCCCTTTTATGGACCATAAAAAGATAGCTTTTCTTGTACAGCTGTCATTTGTCCTTATCTCGTTCTGTGCTTCTCTCCGTTATTTTCATGTTTCTTCCTTTATTGAAGACTCTGCAGTAAAGAAGCAGCAGCAGGAGGTTATCTGCCCTGTGGAGAATGAGCATGTGAGAGTCCTGAGTCAGGAAGAAATGCAGGTTTGGGACTTGCAAGCAGCCAAAGCTTGCTTTTCCTGAACACCGGAGTAAAGCTTGTGGGAGTGCCTAGTCTGTAACCTGTCCTTCAGTACGCAGTAAATGTGAAATGCTTATATACAGCTTTGTTCCCTGTTCATTAGGAGTTTGTGATAAAAGCAGGAGAACTGGGGAGTAGAGAAGCAGGAGGTGGAGAAGTAGGGAGGCTTTAAGAACTTGGTGTTATGCCACTTGATCCGTGTAGTTACGCCGGTGGACATAGGCAGGAGTTACATGTCTGATTGAGGAACTAAGCCCAGAATTAGCCTCCCTGAGGAACAGGGCATGCCGTGAGTGTTGCATTAGATGTTTGTAGCTGAACTGATTGCGAAGTAAGTCTTCTCTACCAACAGACTCCATGGACGCCAATGCTAGCGACTGCTCAATGTCGTGCAGTGAAGTGAAACTTGTGTACTGGCTCTGCCTTCCTGTTTGTGTCAGTGTGCTTGCAAAGGAGAAATTCAATAGGAACTATTATGCTCTATTAAAAAAATTAAAATAACGTTTTTCTAGGCTGTCCTCCAAGAACTACAACCATGAAGTAAATACATGATCCATGCATTGTGAGTGTGGATGGCAGGTAGAGAGTCCCTGGGGGTGCAGTGAGCTACATCAGTCCATGCAAAGATGAGCATGAAGCGTGGGTCCCCACAGAGAATGGTGCCTGGAGAATGTCAGTTCTGCTGCCCCGTCAGAGGATGAGAAAGCATGACAGCAAGAGAGAGCAAGTGTGAGAAGGCTGCAGGGAGAGAAGTATGTGACACAAACAGAAAAGAGGTGGGGATTTAGAGTATAAACCGGATTTATTAATAACATCTGATAGAACAACTTTCAACACTTTCTGACATGACATAGCAAAGGAATAAGGAAGGGTGAGAACAGAAGGATTCATTTCCTTGAGACGGCTCCAACTGGAAGGGCTGGATATGGGGTGTTTTGTCAAGAGCAGGGCAAGTTCATTAAGGTTAAGATGACTGAATGACGGGGAAACAGGAGGAGTCACAGTCTGGGCAGCTGGAGCATGAGGTGGGATCTCATTGCAGGTGAGACACCTCAGCTGTAGAGAACAAGTAAATCTCTGCATTGAATGGTGGGTGAGGAGGTTAATTGCTAGAGAGCTCCTGGGAAACAAGATACAATAATCTTGCTGTGTGTTATTGTAGGGAGCAAAATCCTCAGGGCTGTTTGTGTGGGACTCCTTCAGTGGCCATGGAGGCCTTGACATTCAAGCAGTTACTCAAGACTTTTCCCTGAAGCAGCTCACAAGTGGCTTTTATCCTTTGGCAGATTCACCTTTGGGCTTACCTGCTGGCTTCCTTGTATTTAATCTGGAGATTAGATAGATTCTATTTATGAAGACTGCTGGGCAGATATAGCTATTAACCTTTCACTGGAGAGCAAAGATGTCATTAACTGTGAGCTGATAAGAACTATCCATAAAGCTGTGATTAAGCACCTGAATTTAACATATTTTTTTTTCCCCCTCAAATGTTCATGGATCTAAGCCGAAAGGAAATGTGTTTGTGTTCCTGCCGGTTAAGGCAGGCAGCAAGGCTTTGGGGAGAGCCAGGAGAAGGACAAGGTAGCTGAGACTCCTCATTACCTCCTGAAAGAGTTGAGTTATCTTGAGCAGGAACAGACAGAAGAGCTTGCTTCTTCTGCAGGGTGGTGCATCAGCCTGGTCTCCAGAGCATCAGAACAACCTGGTCTTCCCTGGGTACGGCTTGCTCTTCCTCCTGTGTGTGCTCTGAACAAGGAGGTCTTTTTGCATTATTCACTTTGCTCTGCATCAGAAAAGACAAACTCAGGTAGGAGCTGCAATTTCTGGTCCTAATTGCAAAATGGCATGTTGTTGAAAGCCTGCTCACCCTCCAAGCAGGTATGAGAAGCAGGACAAGGCCGGGAGGGCAGAATTCAAGGGATGTGTGTCAGGGTGCCTGTGGTTCCTCACCTGCAGTGTTAGCAGCAGGTGCTGCCAGTCCTGCTCCCAGCCGCTGCTCACACCTCGCAGCTTCCACCTGCCCTTTGCATCAACTTTGCTCTTTCCTGATATTTCAAGGTAAGTAGCTGCAAAAAGACCCGGTGGGTGTTGAGAAGAGGTCGGTAGAAAGAAACAAATGCTACTTGGTATTGCATCCAGCAGAGAGTAGGGATAACCCTGAGGTGCTTAGCCAGGGCTGTCAGGGGTGAGTGGTAGTCAGCAAAGAGATAATGCCAGCTCCTGTTTGAAGGAACAGACCATGGGAGATCTGTGGAGCACCAACAACAGGATAAAATGCAGCCAGCGTATAATAACTCCACAAGTACAGTACAGCAATTGGCATCTTCTGTATCTGCATGGATATATGTTTTCCAGAGTCACAGTCCAGCATCCTGCGCCCTATAGGTATAGCCCTGATAAAGTGGTAAAGCTAAGACATCAGATGGAGGGAAGGGGGTTGTTTTAAAAGCACTTTTTGCAAAGACCCTGCGGAAACTTCACATGATCTAAAATCAAACTTCCATCACCAGATTTAAGAGCACAGAGTGGTTTTGCAGCATTAGGAGGTGAAAGGCCCTCAAAGGAGGAAGTGAGCTCATGTGATAAAGGGACATTACTGGGAAAGAGAAAGCTTCTGCTGAGCAGTTTAGAAGGCCTCTGTGTGTTATCTTTCCCAAACATGAGGATTTTGTTAGGGCTTAGCTTTTATTTGCCCTTTCCTGCTCTCAGCTTCTGACCGTAACGATATTCCCGCAGCACACAGCAGAGGCCGTACGATGCTTATGGACCTTTCCCTCTCAACTGGTCTTCCCTCTCGTGTGTCCTCTTGCGATGTACCCCTCACCGATTCCCCAGTTTTCGGTCCTCAGAAGATCCCTCCTCTTCAGACGTGTTTCTGGGGGAAGCTGCAGCCATTTGCGGGGCTCTGGACAGTGTCGGTCTTCCTCGGACCCCCTGCATTGCAGGAGTTGTAGCCTGCATGTCCTGCCACCCCAAGGGAGGATGTGGAAGACAACCGGTCCATCCCAGAGTCCACCCTGGCTTTGCTTACCAGGCACCGTCTAAGTGAGTCCTGGCATTTTAGCTCCAGAGGTTTGCATTTGGAGGGTGAAGGGGGGGGCTAACGAGACACAGGCCTTGTCTCAAGCCAGGGTACTAAGGTGGGGAAAAATCTAGAAGGAGAAATTTGGCCCCACACAAAAAGGGGTCACCTGGGAAGTCTCTGGAGGGGATGAGGCAGCCAGCTTGAGTTCTAGGTCTGCCCCAGGGAGGGCAAGCAGTCCAGGCCGTTCTCCGACCCAGCTGAGGAGTCCCGGGAGGAACGGCCCTGGAGAAAGCGGATGATTTTGTCGATTGTCGCCTCCTGGTACTCGTGGGACCACCTGTGTTCGAGGGGAAAATTTGATTTAATTTTTCTGTTGTGCGAGATGCCACGAGATAGCTCAGTTCATTTGAGCCAGGAGCCAGAGACGCCCTTCCTCCACCCCAGCTCTCTGGGAGCACCCCTTTTCCCTGCGGAAAATGGAGGAATGCTGGATGCTGAGGGAAAGCCCCTTCCCCTGTGCCCTGCCAGGCTGGAGGGCTACG